GATCCTGACCCATACTGACAGTGTTTAATCTAAGTGTGAGAGAAGGGGTTTCCTTCTGTACATATTCAGGGAATTCAGAAAAAGTAGGAGTGGACTATTGAAGGCTAGGATGTGAGAGACAAGTGTCAAAAATACACAGCATGGGAGTGTCAATCTCTTAATTCAAGCATAATGTTCAGCCAGATTCATGTTATACTAAGAGTTTAGGAATTTAGGAGGGAAGAGGAAGTGCATCTGTGAGTATGTTCCTTGTAACTGAATTATCTAGCCAAAAATAATAATAATGATGATGTTGTTTTATCTTGAAAGCCTGGCTATCAGGAAAAGATTTCAACTCCAAGTATTCTGAAAATGGCGTATTTAGAACCAGGAGTGATGGAAGAATAGTTATCGTACATGAGTCTTTATTCATTACTGGATTAGAGTTTACTTAAATAAGAAAAATTAAAATTTTTGCATTTTAAGTAAGTGCTTTCTTAGCTTTTAATATTAGCCACTTAAAACATTAAAAAGTGGTGGTCAGGTGGACCATAGAGATGACCATAATCAACAAATGCCTATTGGTGTTGTAACATCTGGCTTTCAGGGCTGCTAACATATTTTTAAATAGTGCTTAATTAAAAATGTAAGACTCTTGTACTCTCATTGTAGACACTGCCCTTGACAGGAAATTATACCTGTTCAGACAGCAGGTAGAGCAAGGAATACATATGTGTTCTGGTGAGTGACTATAACAACAAAGAGGACAAAAAAAGCCTTAAGCCAGAAATGAGTTGTCTGGGCAACAAATTAGTCTGCTTTGGGTTTGAGGTCTTGCACAGAGAGCAATGCAGATGGAGATCCCCAGTCTTTGCACTAGGACCACTTTAGCTGGAGTATGGAGTCTAAAACCACAGAGCTGAAAGTTAGGAGATATAAGTTTACAAAAATGTAGGCCCAAACTAAAAATTCTTCTTCTTTCAACATAGAGAGAAATTACTTCCCAGTAACAAAATTATATAAATTTGGAGAGAGCATGTAAGTTGTAATAAGGTGCTCTAGCTCAATGCACTTTTGTTAGAAAAAAAAATTTCCACAGTATTTTCCATGTTGAATACTCCTTCACTGTAAGAAACCAGAAGAAGAGAGGGGACTAAACTACATCTGTTTATATGAGTATGACTTTAATTGCCTTACTACTAAATTTATGCAAAAGGTGAAGTATCTGCAGTTCAGGTAGTTTCAAGCAATCCTGAACTGTGCTTGTTAGATAGCTCAATGACATCATGAGAACACATACAAGGAAAACACATTTTCCCTTTTTTATTCTTCTGTAAAATACTCACCAAGTCCAAGGAGCACTCCAGGAACAGGAGGATTCAGGGGAAATGTGCTACTGCTTCTATCCTCTCTCCTCTGGGACAGGTGTGACTTAAGCTGCATACACCTGCATTCCCTGTTTGGCACCTTTGACAGATGCATTTGATGACCTACTGCTGGGAGAATCTTGGAGGCATCAAGGCAAAACTTCCCTCCTTTTTATACAAAGTGATCAGATGCCATAACATAGAGCATTTAGACAGCCATTACATATGGGGGCTCACAAAGGGAGACCATAAAAAAAATTATTAATCATGTTACAGTCCTTTAAAAAAACACCAAGCAGACCTGCTCATTTTCTTCAGCCATCAAAGAATCACTGTCTTTCACCCCCCCCAAAAGCTTTCTGATGGTAGTGGGAGCCTGGCTGGTTGCTCTGCTCTACATGGTGAAGTGGAAGGTTTCCTATGCCTTTCAGGGTGTGCCTGTGGAGGTCCTGGTAGCAGATGAGAACTAAAGGAATACTTCCAGATATTCAAGAGCCCTCCCTAGTGCCAAGGTCTTCAGGGCATCAACTCCTTCAGTGTGCATGGGAATTGTGGTGGACACATGCATGCCTGCCAACCAAGGGACAGGACAGCTTGTTAGCCACTATCACATCCTTCAGAAGCATCAACCCTCTCTGTCTGGGATAGGGAGGGAAAAAGGAGATGAAAGTGAGAGACCTGCGGGCAAGACTCGTGTTCCTGATTTGCTGCAGGGATCATGTAGCTGGTCCCAGTGCAGCCCACAGCAAAGGCTCTGCCTGAGGGGGCACCCAGCTGGCAGAATTATGCACGTTAAGAAAATTGTTATTTCAAATGACCGGTCTTCTGAGATGGTTTATGATGTCTGACTTCTGAACATTTACATGAAGAGACAAGGGAAGGGAAAGAAAAAAATGGGAAAACATTTTAATGTCAAGGCTTTTTTGACAACACAGATGAACATCAGCCCTTACTGAGCTCAGGATCAAAAAAACTGTTGGTTGCTTGAGTTTTCCTGCTGGAAAGACCAGAATTCTGTAGTGTGCAGGGAGCCTGCCCCCACCTGCTGGCTTGGCAGGAGATGGAACAACAACCACACAACAGTATAAATGCACTTCTGAAAAGGCTGTTAATTAAAAAAAGAAAAAAAAGGATTGTATATATCATCCACATGACACTGACACATTCGAATTTGTATTATATGACACATACTTGGAATATTTACATGACTGATAAGCATATTAATAAGCCAAGCTTTGACAGGAAAGTATATTTAAAGGCTTGGATTTCTTTGACATAGAGCTCTGTTCTGGAGATAATTAATGCTGCCTGCTATCCTCTTTCTCACAGTAGAATTTTTTCCCATACTAGAAAGATTATTCAGAGCTTTAAAAATCCTGTTCAGTTAAATGCAACAAGTAAAGGGTAACAGAGCACATGCCAAATAAGAGACAAAGAGAAAATAAAAACTGATTAATTTAAGGAATCATTTGAAGATCAACTCTGAATTTTGTTTTGATTCTGAAATAGCTGGTAATCAATATTGATTTTGATGACTACTTTTACTATTTTTCATAGAATCATAGAATCATAGAATCATAGAATCAGATGGGTTGGAAAGGACCTCTGAGATCATCAAGTCCAACCCTTGATCCACTACCAGCACAGTTGCTAGACCACGGCACTAAGTGCTATGTCCAGCCTCATCTTAAAAACCTCCAGGGACAGAGAATCCACCACTTCCCTGGGCAGCCCATTCCAATGGCTGATTACCCTCTCTGTAAAGAATTTCTTTCTAATATCTAACCTAAAGCTCCCCTGGCACAGCTTAAGGCCATGCCCTCTTGTCCTATTGCTGATTGCTTGGGAGAAGAGACCAACCCCTACCTGGCTACAACCTCCTCTCAGGTAGTTGTAGAGAGTGATGAGGTCTCCCCTGAGCCTTCTCTTCTTGAGGCTAAACAACCCCAGCTCCTTCAGCCTCTCCTCACAGGACTTGTGCTCGAGTCCCTTCACCAGCCTTGTTGCTCTTCTCTGGACCTGCTCCAGCACCTCAACATCTTTCCTGAACTGAGGGGCCCAGAACTGGACACAGTACTCCAGGTGTGGCCTCACCAGCACTGAGTACAGGGGCAGAATCACTTCATTGGTCCTGCTGGCCACACCTTTCCTGATACAGGCCAGGATGCCATTGGCCTTCTTGGCCACCTGGGCACACTGCTGGCTCATGTTCAGCCTCCTGTCAATCAGCACTCCCATGTCCCTTTCTGCCTGGCTGCTCTCCAGCCACTCTGTGCCCAGCCTGTAGCACTGCATGGGGTTGTTGTGGCCAAAGTGCAGGACCTGGCACTTGGCCTTGTTGAACCTCATCCTGTTGGAATCAGCCCAACTCTCCAGCCTGTCCAGGTCCCTCTGCAGAGCCCTCCTGCCTTCCAGCAGGTCGACACTCCCTCCCAACTTGGTGTCATCTGTGAATTTGCTAATGATGGACTCAATCCCCTCATCTAAATCATCGATAAAGATATCAAACAGAACTGGGCCCAACACTGATCCCTGGGGGACACCACTGGTGACCGACCGCCAGCTGGATGCAGCCCTGTTCACCAGCACTCTCTGGGCCCAGCCCTCCAGCCAGTTCCTGACTCAGCACAGGGTGCCCCTGTCCAAGCCATGGGCTGCAATTTTTCAGGAGTATATTATGGGAGACAGTGTCAAAGGCTTTGCTGAAGTCCAGATAGACTACATCCACAGCCTTCCCCTCATCCACCAGGTGGGTCACCTGATCATAAAAGGAGATCAGGTTGGTCAGGCAGGACCTGCCCTTCCTAAACCCGTGCTGGCTGGGTCTGATCCTTTGTCCATCCTGTAGGTGCTGTGTGATTGCACCCAGGATGATCTGCTCCATAACCTTGCCAGGCACTGAGGTCAGACTGACAGGCCTGAGTCCTGAGTCCTCCTTCCGACCCTTTTTGTGGATTGGTGTGACATTTGCCAACTTCCAATCATCTGGGACCTCCCCAGTGAGCCAGGACTGTTGGTAAATGATGGAGAGGGGCTTGGCAAGCTCTTCCGCCAGCTCCCTCATCACCCTTGGGTGGATCCCATCTGGTCCCATAGACTTGTGGGGATCCAAGTGGCTCAGCAGGTCGTTGATTGTTTCCTCCTTGATTACGGGGGGACTATTCAGCTTCATATTCCTATCCACATGCTCCAGAAGCCAGCTGTCCTCAGAGAGACCTGTCCCACCGTTGAAGACTATGAACTGTATCCAATGTTCACCTCTGAATAGGAATGAGCAAACCAGCTTGGAAGTAGATATGTTTGCTGCTCCAATCATTCTTTGGATCCTTACTCATTTAGAGGATGAAACCCAGACTACATCCAGCCTGAGTTTGAACTTCAGCATCCATGGGAGCTTCTGGTTTAGTCTCCATATAAACTAGATCCACACCTCTTCTTACATGGTAGCCTTTTCACTCAGTGTGCTGTGCTATGGGTCCTCTGTCTGTAATCTGTAGGGTGTGACAAGTGTAAATATGTCTTTAGAGACTGAGACCAGATAGTTCCATTGTTTCTTCCACAGTAGTGATGGAGGCATCCCACCTTCACAGTGATTTTTCTCTATTGTAGTGTTATGCATGTGTCAAAGACAGAAGAGTTCAAATATCTGATTCCATCATTACTTTTGCAAGGCAATCACTCAAAAATTATTGTCATAGACTTTCTGGTTTGTTTCCTGCAGTGCAGACTGGAAGGGCCTGCTCTGGGTTTTTTCTACAAACCCCAAAGAGATTGTGAGAGAAGATAAGTGTATGTCAGGAGTATTTCTGCAGGTCCAGTTGGGAGTAGGTGTCACCAGCAGAAAGTCTGTTGCAGAAATCACCAGCAAGCTGGGAAATCCAGTGGGAAGGTAAAAAGAGATGTTCTTTCTTAGTAACTTTAAATCAAATTGACCTAATATATTTTGAATTTTTACAAGCAGGAGCACCAGTTTAATTTGTTAGCAATACTGTTAAAACACAGAGTTAGTACTTATTAAATCATCCATCTCTTTATGGTAGTACATCATCATGTGTAATGGAGCAGTATCCTTTAGTCTGCCAAAACAGAGATTATATTAATCTATAATAAACTGACAGGGAGATATGTTTGGAGTTTTTTCATCAGATTTGATTCTCCATACTTCAGAAACTTTACTTGGAATTTGAACATGCATAATGCCTTCCTTATTACAAGGTGTAGCCATTTTTTTTTTTTTTTTTTTTGAAAACCAAGAGCCACCAGTATTTTTCCACATCTGAGGTGTCTCAGAACAATTAGGGCTGGAAGGCATTGCAGAAGGTCTTTGGTCCAACCTCTCTGAGCAACCTACACCCCTGCATGACTGTTCTCATGGTGAAAACTATTTTCAGCATATGCCCATTTTCTCTCAAGCTCTTGCCATACACCACTGGGAGTAGCCTGGATCCCTCCTCTCACCCAGTGTCCATAGGTGCTGAGAGGGCTGCTGTTAGGTCCCCCTCAAAAGCCATCTCTTCCTCAAGCTTAACCAGCCCCATCCCTAACCTTATCCACAAAGCACAGGTTCTGCAAACCCAACCACTTGGGGTCCTCCCCTCTAAACTTTGTCCAGTTAGACAACTTATTGATGTCTTTCTTGTCATCACAGGTCCAAAACTAGACACTGCGTCTTGAAATGATTCAGTTAGTGCTGAGTAGAGAGAGAGCTAATCCCTTTTCTTAGCCTCCTTTCCTGCTGGGACACACTGCTGACTTGTGATGAGCTCACTGGTCTTACTCATAGAGCTGCTCCCCAGCCAGTCTACATAGCCTATGCTATTGCCAAGGGCTCTTCCTTTCCAGGTATGGGACTTTGCATTTGTCTTTGATTAATTTCCTAAGGTTCCTGTCAGTCCCTTCCTCCTGCCTGTCTAAACTGTCTAAACTCAGTCCTTGAGTGGCTGCCCTCCCCCTGTGGGTATTGATGGTGCCCCCAGTCTGAGTTCATCTGATGAGTCACCTATTCCAGGTGATAAAGCTGTTAAACAGGACAGCTTCCAAGGAAGTACTTCTGCAGTTTTCCTCATGTAACTTGCCTATAGTTAAGGAGCAACCCATTCCCTGCTACCATTTGAGCACAATCGTTAAACTCTTTTTTACTCAGTTGTCTGCCCATCCAGTTATTCAAAGCTAACTTGGATGCAAGGAGACAGAGTTGAAAGTCTTGCCGAAATCAATGTAAATTACATGCAGTGCTATCACAGAATCATATAATAATTAAGACTGGAGAAGACCTTCAAGATCATCAAGTTCAACCTTTGACCAAACACCACCATGCTCTTGCCTCATCTGCAAAGAAATTGGACTACTCAGGCATGACTTATCATTGGTAAATCCGTGATGGTTTTTCAGTCATCTTCTGCTACATGTGCCTGAAATGTGTTCCAAAACCAAATAAGTTTACAATATAACAAGCAACTCTTCCTCCACAAGAATTAAATGTCTCTTTGTCTTTTCAATAAAGCCTTCTAGGAATCCACCCTGTCCATCAGGTGCTATTGGGAAGCCCTATTAGCATCTCCAGGAACATTCCTATCCTTGAGGTAAATCTTCCAGCTTAGCGTTTTGGTTGCAACTTTTGTGATGCTTTAAACCTCATTGCTCAGATTGTCTCCCAGCTGTGCAAGAAATTCATACTCTTACATGCCTTCAGCATTTCTACAAAATCCAAATCAAGGTCATGCCAGGAACGGCTATGGTAATTTTTTCTTTTGAGGGGAGCCAAGGTGCAGGATAGCAGGTGGAGGCTGGTGCAGTTAGTTCTTGCTCCAGCATATGTCAGGAATAAGGTTAATCAAGTTGGGTGCCAGGACGTGTACTCACCCTTTGGACACTTTGGAGTCCACCAATATAGATGTAGGTCCTGTAAAGCCAAGTAGCTGAGAAAAGTCTGTGTTTGTGCCTGAGTAGAAGAGATATTTCAGAACAATGCTACACTCCAATGGAACAACAGGTCCACTTCTGGAGAGATATCAAATCCATGCACAAGGCATATACTGTGTCTTTCTTTGGGACTGACACTATAATGTTGGTAGACCCAAGCGTCACATATTGTTAGCTAGTCTTTTTCAGGTGAGAAGGTGGGGTGTTTTGATAAATTAAATAAAAAAGATTAAATCTGACCTGGCCCAGTTGCAGGGGTTAACAGTCTTGGCAAAACACATAGCAAGCAGTGGTGGCATAAATGATAGAAGATAGAAGAACTGTAGGCTTAAATAACTTCTGAAGTACGTCACTTAATGCACCAGCGGCATGAACCGTAACTTCAGCAGAAGGGAAGAGCACCATCTATTGAATATCAAAGAAAGTTGTCACTTTTCTTATGCTTTCATTGAAACATTAAGGTTGAAAAAGATCTCTAAGATCATTGAGTCCAACCACTAACCCAGCACTGTCAAGTCCCCCACTAAACCATGTCCTCAAGTGCCCCATTTACACTTTTAAGTATCTCCAGGGATGGTGACTCAACCACCTTCCTGGGCAGCCTGTCCCAACGCTTGACAACCCTTTCAGTGAAGACATTTTTCCTTATATCAAATCTAAACCTCCTCTGGTACTTGAGGCCCATTTCCTCTTGTCCTATCACTTGTTACCTGGGAGAATAGACTGACATCCACCTTGTTACAACCTCCTTTCAGGTAGTTGTAGAGACCAGTAAAGCTCTCATCTGAGCCTCCTTTTCCCCAGGCTAAACAACCTCAGTTCCCTCAGCTGCTCCTCATCAGACTTGTGCTCCAGACCCTTCACCAGCTCCACTGCCCTTCTCTGGATATGCTTCAGCACCTCAATGTCCTTCTTGTAGTGAGGGGCCCAAAACTGAACACCTTCAGTAGAGGTTGCTCATTCACAGACAAACCAGCAGATACTGGCAACTGTATAGGTCACTGGGAAGTTACCTAACCTGTATTAACAATTGGCTGGATCATACGAAGGAGACAAAAGGATTACATCCCTCTCAAACCTTTAAGACCTTTCTAGAACTCTGAAATTCACAATAGCCATAATATCTGAATCCTTTCTTCACCCTGCTGTCTATTAGTTACATGTTTATCTAGCGAAGTTAACTCATTAAACTGTAAAAATATTTTAAAATTAAAAAAAAAAAAAGCAAAACAGGATTAGTTAAAGATTAATCAATTTTATTATTAATGCAATGGATTATGAGCCAGCTGGGAAATCACTTATTTGGGTTGACCTTCTTTCCTACTATTGTAATAATGCACTCTTCCACCCATCTCCAGTGCTTTTCTCTCCACTTATATATGCTCTTAGAATAAAATAAGCCTCAGATTTATATTTCTAGAATTTTTTGGTCATGACTTTATTATTTCTTAGTTTGGCTTTTTAAAGCACTTGCTAAATTTGCTTGTAGTATGAAGCTACAGTAATCCACCATCCTCCTACACTGCAGTCTGTTCTATCCTACACCACATAAAGACTGTTGCTGTCACGGGGTGAGAACTGTGCATTGAAGCACCTAAAATAGATTCAAAAGGAAAAGAAGGGCTACAAAGAAAAACGGGAAGACATTCTGAGTGCTCGGTTCTGTGCTCAGGACAAAACTGCGTTTTCACATCTCCATATCTTCTGAAAAAATTACCCCTTTGCAAGGAAACTCAAGATAATCTCACTGTTTTGATTCATTTTCTGAAAGATATAACCTTAAAAATTCACTTCTGAATTCTGGCCAGCTCAACAAGCACAGCTTTATCAGCTCTGTAAAAAACAAATAACAGGTCTTGAACCAGAGATGCAGCCATTTTATTTAAAAAATCTGGCCTGCACGTATTACTTGCACAGTGGGAAGTACCGATCTCCATAACACAACCATTGCCAGAGACAGCATAATCACATCAAAAGCCCCATCTCCAGGCTTTCTTAGCTGCTGGTACTTCACTAAACATTTTAGCAAAATTACATTGTGACATCTAATTCACTCATGCCATGACCCAAATGAAAACAATACATGACATGATAACATTATTTTTCTTCTTTTACTTGGAAGTAATTTTAAAATTATAATAAAGGATTCCCAAATAGATGAGTTGGTTAGCTTTGGAAATATCAAACACACCAGGAACAAACAGTAGGATCATATCAAAGTTCTATCTTTCAGGAATACAACTCATGCAATTTTTTAAAAAGTACAGAGACATATCAGGTTAAGTTTTATAGGCAAACAAGCAGGAAAGCCTGATCAGCTTGTCAGTTCAAGGATGATAGTGAACAAATTTCCCATTTCACAAAGAGATTGTCACAAAATCATAGCACAAGTCTGACCAGAGGTCAGAAGAAACTTCAAACAATGAAAATTAAAAACAAACAAACAAACAACTCCCCCCCAAAAAAAAAAAAAAAAAACAACAAACAAAACCAAAAAAAACCCCAACACCCTAACATTATCAGTAGTTCTGGGGTTTTTTTTAACAAAATATTCCAATTTTCATTTGTCTAATAAGATACAACATTTTAAAAACTATACCAAACCCCCATTTTGAAAGGAAAAAAAATTCATGGTGAATAATTTTTATTCTTTCAGTTGAAATGAATGCAGTGCAAAATTCTTTTGAGAAAATGTTGACTGAGAAGCAGTCTCTGACAGAGAGGCAACTTTCTTCTGAGCCATCTTACTGCAATTGCCTGTGATTTCCCTGCCAATGCGCTGCTGGGTACTATGTGTTTCTCACACACAGCCATTCTACTGTCAAGATGACAACAAATGTGGGATGATTATTAGGGAAAGTCCTTGTGTGGACAAACTCTCTGTAGTGATACACAAACCCTACTCTTACTTACAAACTGCTACCGGTGGCTCTACTGTCACATTTTTCTCTGGATTGGATTGGCAAAATCTCTACAGCATGGCACATTATCTGCGGGATCTCTGGATACAGTAAACTCCTACAGCTGTAGGTGCCTTTGTGCACTGGTACCATCTGGTGTCTCTGGCTCTCAGCTTAGCACATACCATTTTGTTTTTGAAAGATTGAAGTATCAGATCATGCCTCAGCTCCTAGGAGGAAAATTGACTGATCATTATGGGTTGTGATCTGCAGAAGGTCATGATGCAAATGTAGACACCGCTCCTGATGTGGCCTTCTGTAAAACTGATGAACTGCATTAAGACCAGAAGTTCTCCACAGAAATATTTAACGTGACAGTTTGGGGTTTTTTTCAGTAACAACATGTGGAGGTTGAAGAATGTATAACCTATGCTTTGCAACCTATGATGCTGGAAGAGCATTGTGTTCTTCCTTTGGTAGGCCTCTGAGTCAATTTGCATTTAACCATTTCCTTAGCCATGCTGAACTCCTCTTGGTATTGCTGATGAAGCTCATAGCTAGAAATGACACCCAGCTCCCAGTATGGGACTTGTCAAGTAGTTCCACTTCAGAGAAGGTAATGGCCCAAGGCCATGATGGTTTCACTCAGAGGATGGGAACAAATACTTACGATATTCTGGTTTCCACAATATGGGAAAGGAGAGTGATTAACTTTGTCCTTTTGTAGCTGACCTTTTTGTGTTGGTATCTGCACAAAATTTCTTCATTTGTGGGAAGCTGTGGCGGCTCTCCAGGGAACACTGCCCTGGCACCCAATCACCTCTGAGGCCCCCAGCCTCTCAGGGGGGGCCAATTTCAAACCATGACAGAAGCTAAGCAGACCTCTTCCCTGAAAAATCAGTTACTTTATAGTCTTCCAGATACTTGAAAGGTGCGCACATGCTCTCCACCCTCACAGGAAACTTTGGGTGAGTAGAACTCCTAACTCTGTGATTGGATAGAGGTAGCAACTCCAGTGCGAGGAGAGTGAAAACACAGTGGTGTACAAGAGGAGAATAGAAAAGAACTCTACAAATTTGAGGTACTTTTTAGAAGAACAAAGCCAAGTGCACTTTAACAAGTGAAAAATTATGCACAATGAAGCAACTGCCCAAGTACAGAGTAGGGGACATTGGTTAGAGGATGCCCTGCAGAAAACACAACATCCTAGACTTGATCACAGTCTGAGAGCAAGTTAAAAATAGCCAACATCCTTAGGAGGGAAAAATGGAACATCATCTCAGAATGTAAAGAATGGGGTATCTATTATAGTATAGTAATACATAATTCCTTTGGTTTCCTCAGTACTGGGGAGACCCAACTGCAGAACCAAGTCCAATTTTGGTACTTCAGGAAAGAAACTGAGCAATGGGAGAAGGTCGGCTGAAGAGCAACAGGAATTATCAGTGGTCTAGAAAGCACAACCCACAAAAAAAGTTGAAAGGAACATAAATTGTTTGTCCTAGATAATAAAAGAAGCAGAAAAGATATGACACAAGTCTTCATGTACTTCAAAAGAGAAAATTTTAGAAGAAAGGCAATTATTTGCTCACAACATTTACTGCAAAGAAGACAAGAGCAAATTGTCTCCAGGAGACAAAAGATCAACATTAAAACATCAAAGGAGGAATGTGAAGCTCTGAAATTGATATGGTAATATTCCTCATTCATATCTATACTGTATGTTCTTATTTACAGGCACAGAAGGTCTCTGTTGAAAATTTTCCGCAAGATTACTTCCCATCCGTTCCACTGACAGGTGCACTGAGAGATTGATCATAAAGCTAAATCAAATGGTCATCTGATTCTGAGGAGTTAGTGCTGCCCTTCAATATATTACTAGGTGAAAATGCACCACAGCAAAAAAATTCTTACAGGAAGATGCTCTCCTTACTGTTCATTGCCACCACGCTGATTTTGTTAAATGTGCATTCACAGACTAGGCAGACACAGACACATGTGGCACATAACTGCTAATGCTGTCACAGTTCTTAAAGGTGATTGCCAAGAACAATTCATTGAAGTGGGTAATTTGCTTACTGTGTAAAGAAAATTAGCACCTTTGAAGCCAAAGTCTGGAAAAAGAAGAAAATGCCTTCACTATTATATATTTTTGTGAAACAAGTAGCAATTAATCTATGTGGGCAGAAGTGTACACTGGGTCAGAATAGGCCTAGTAAGAGGATCTATGACCCTCTATTATCACTGAGAGGGTAGTAATTGATAGGTACAAGAGATACTTTGCTTTAGCATCCTCCCCTTGTGATGTGGTCAGCTTAGCTGCAGCTGCAGATGCTTTTTTTGTGATTAAACTGTGATTTGAAAAATTAAGGAGCCTTCTTTCCTTAGTTACGAGTGACCTGAAATAAAACAAATGTGGTAGAACCAGCATGGATGTTACAAGATGTTATTCTGCAAGATCACTCAGCAGGCAACCCCTTACTCAAGTGACTCATGGTCCTGGGGACTATAGGGGGGAACAAACCTCCATCCTGGGCTCTGCACTGAACTCACAGAATCGGTCTGAGCTAGAAAGCGAAGATCTTTCCAAGAGTGATCAGCCTTGACCAAAGTTCTTTTTTTGGAGAAAGAACTGAGCCATGCCAGCTGGTGTCTCAGGAGTCTGCACACACCAAAACACACATGCTTCAGCAGCAGAAGTCAGTGAAGGATACCCAGCTTACTCAGAGTCTTTTGGAGCCTGACTTACTTATGCACCTTATAAAGCAAGACCTTGGTTTTTTGTGTGAAACCCGTCGCCACTAGCTGTTCACCAGAAATAATTTTGGAAGTACAGATTCTAGAAACCTAGTTGGTCTGGGGAGGAAATAGCCCAGAGATCTTGCTCACTGTGATTTGCAGGCTGTGCTCTGATTTCAAAAGCCCTCCTCATGCACAAGCACTGAAGAAATAAGGCAACCCAAGCAAGTGCTGTTGAAGTGCTCAGCAAAGCCAGCAGGGCTGTACCACCAGCAGTGCTGGCACCTGGGGCCCATCCATGTCTCTCGTTCTGCAGAGCTTGCAAGTGGGATGAAGACATGACTTAATGAGGCAGCTGGGAGCTGAATCTAAAGTGATAACAGAATACACAGGGGTGATAACACACTAGTGATCCCAGAAGACTATGTTTTTCTTGCACGGAAGAAAAAAATATTCTTTGTGAAGAAATTATCCTTAAATACTGTATTGTGTTTTGGGAAGTATGTGAAAGATATAGGTCATTAGAAGGGTATAAAGTGAAAAGGGGATAGCAGTCAACTGGCAAAGAATTGTGGCTTCTTCATTAATAACTCCCAGCAGTATTGCAAAGCAGGAACAGCGGGCTGTGTTCAGCCAGGAAGTCCATCCTTAGAAGAAACTTCTGTTCTCTTCATATGTTATTTGTAAGTACTGTGTGAAGCTTGAACCTTAACAATTTTTTATGACATACAATTTGCAGACATACCACTGTGTTTTTCTGTACGTGAGAAAAGAGAAATTTCAGAATGAGACATACATGTTGGCTGAAATATATATTATATCAAATAACGCTTAACTGTTAATTTATACCTTTACCAAGGAGCAAAGTATGAGATGACATTGCTCTGCAGCACCATATGGTATCTAGTGTCCATCCATATTGGAAAAGAGAGGAAAAATAATAGTCTTGGAGAACAGGATGCTTTTCACAGAACAAGTGCTACGGCTGTTCCTTTTAATAATAGGAGCAGGAAAGCTGAGGCCCTAAAAACACTCTAGACACAGTAGCACTGAGAATAGTTGCAGAGTCTAGTTAGTCTGCTCACAAACTCAGACACTTAAACATCAGATTGCTTTTCAAAATAAAATGACACACTTCAATGTTTTATCTTTCAGTAAAACTCTGCCTTTAAAGAAGGAGATACTTTGATCTTTAATTCGTCCCCATTGATATGGCTGGAATGTGTCCATATGGCTGATGTAGTTGCTAGGCTACTCTTTAAAATTTTTGATCCATCATGAAGACTGGGAAAAGTGCCTGAAGACTGGAGGAAAGTAAAGGACAATCTTCACTTGAAGAAGGGCAAGACAACTACAGGCTGGTCAACCTCACTTTGATCCCAGGAAATGAGAAGGAGTAGCTGATTCTGGAAACTATTTCCAGGCATATTAAAAACAAGAAAATCATCATGAATAGTAAGCATGGATTCATCAAGAGTGAAGTCATTCTAGACCAACTTGATAAATTTCTATAATGAGATGACTGGCCTGGTAGATGAAAGGAGAGCAGAGGTTATTTTCTACCTGGACTTCGGTAGGACTTTTGGCACTGTCTCCAGAAAATCCTCATAGAGAAGCTGTTGATATATGGGTTGCACGAACAGACAGTGAAGTGGATTCAAAACTGACTTAACAGTCAGGCACAGAGAGTGGTGATCAGACATAAAATCAGCTTGGTAGCCACTAACTAGCAAGTTTGCTGATGGTACCAAACTGGGAGGAGTGGCTAATATGCTGGCAGGTCATGCTGCCATCCAGAAGGACCTCAACAGGCTGGAGAGATGGGCTGACAAGAACCTCATGAAGTTCAAGAAGGAATAGTGCAAAGTTCTGCACTTGGGGACTAGGACATGCTAAAGGCTGAGCAGCTGGAAAGCAGCTTGGCAGAAAAGGATCTGGGGGTCCTAGTGGATGACAAGTTGAACAGGAGCCAGCAGTGTGCCCTTGGGCAAAGAAGGCCAGTTGTGTCCTGGGCTGCATTAGGAGGAGTGTTACCAGGAGGCTGAGGGAGGTGATCCTTTCCCTCTACGTGGCACTTGTGAGGCCACACCTGGCATTCAGTTCTGGGTTCCCTAGTACAAGAGAGACATGGACATACTGGAGGCAGTCCAGTAAAGGGCCATAAAGATGATTAAGGGACTGGAGTACATCTACTGCAAGTAAAGGCTGAAAGGCCTGGGACTGCTCAGTTTGGAGAAGTCTCAGGCGGATCTTATCAATGTGCACGAATACCTGAAAGAAAAATGCAAAGAGGATGGAGCCAGGTGCTTTTCAGTGATGCCCAGTGACAGGAGGGAAGGCAATGGGCATAAACTGAAATGCAGGAGATTTTGTCTGAACATTAAGAAGCACTTTTTTACTAAAATACCTTTTTTATAAGTACTTTCTTGTAAAATTGAAATAATGTATTGAATTATGTATTTCAAAATGAGATTGTGTACAACTGAAGTTGATAGCTCAGTTACACAGGAACCTGTTTTCTGTTTTCTAATGCAGTGACTACAGTGTATTGCAGTTCTATCCTTGATTATTCATGAAACAAATTATTATGTGTGTCCTAGTTACAGGGGCTGGGACCAGTTTATTGCTATGTGGGTATAGCCAAAACTGTGTATTCTATACCGTCTATGTAATTTCTGATGGACTGTTAATGAATGTGGTGCCTTAAGCCCCTATTAGTTTTTTATTTTTCTAATTTTTGTAAGTTTTATAAGTAGTAGAAGTAGACTTTAAAAGCAGCATCCCTCATTCCCTTTCCCTGTAGTACAAGTAGTTTACACATTCCTTAACCCTCTTACCCCATTCTATGCTCCCCATATCAAATCTACCTCTGAATTCAGTGGCAACGTTTAGTCTTTTGTCAAGGCAAGGCCTATACTGTTTAGAGAACACTCATATCTAGGCCTGAACAACAGAACAAAGTCAAGAACTAGGTGACTGTGTACTTTTTGTGCTCTGAGGATGATGAGACTGATGAAGAGGTGGTCCTGAAATACACCCCAGACCCAATTCTCAGGGGGTGGACCCAAGTCGGACCAGAGCAAAGGCTACAGGGTGGACAAACTTGGGATTGGACGGATGGTATTATAAAATGTAACATCTCAAGCACAGCCGGCGGGTGTCTTGTAACATCTCTTGCCTTGGCACAATTAAACGCTTTCTTTATCTCACCCCTAATTAACTGCTCCTGAGTTATTTTTTAGCATCAGAATTCCATGGCATCAAATGGATTGTTTGCAGCAGCTACCCAGGGCACACCTGACACCTCAGGCTACAAGCTGAGTGTTAAAATCCTGTGAGGCAGAGGAGTGTTTCTTTGTCTTCACACCAATGACTTAGCTGTGATAACTCCCCTCCAGAAAGACCTTAACACCTTCACACCCAGCCTGAGGGGTCATCTCTGCTAATGGGTCACTATGGACTGGTATAATAGGCAGCTGCAACATTCAAAGATTCCAAAACTCTCCCATGACTCATAGAGTTAAATCACCTATTGTGAAACTCCTTGTTCTGGGGGAGGTACTGGGCATTCCCACCTGAACTTGAGCATATATAAACTTCAGGTTTTGAGACTTCTGGTATCACTCAGTGGATCGAGAAGAGGACCAGAACTTCAAGAGGACTGTGACTGAAACTTTTGACAGGACTGCGACTGCCACTTTTGACAGGACTGCAATCATCACCCAGACCAACAGGTTTTCCTTTTCTTTTACTTTGCACTCAGTGGGGCCACATGGTGCTCAGCACAGGGGCTAAGGAACACCATTCTGTTCTTGTCCCAGGGTGCTGGGTTATATATCTGTTTGTTGGGGGTAAAAAAACATTTTCTCTTTATCATTTATTGTAATCTTTTTTAGTAAATCGTAACTCTGACTTGTAATCTCTCTTGAGTTGGGTTAATTTTTCCCACTGCTTTACTTCTAAACCAGCACATATGTGTGAGCTGGGTGGTATTATTCAATGTAGAATACTTACTTTAAAGTATTGATTTCTTCTTTTTGTGTTTGAGTGCAAAATTCAAACTTATTCTTAAGAAAAAGAAGTTGAAGGATTTGCTGCTTTAAATTTCCACTGACATCGGCAAATGTCTCTTGCACCTTCCAGAGTATGGCCTTTAGCAGGTCTTCCCTTTCCTTTCTACCAATCCTTCTACTAAGGTGTTGAATCCGAACATATGGGTGCAAAAATCCATTGCAGAACAAGTTTTGAACACCAGTTATTTTACACAAACCATTAACAGATATGGGTGATTGAATAACAATTTTCACCCAGCAGCAGAAGCATCAGAGCTGCAAGAGAACTTGTGACCTCTGAACAAGCCTCCACAGTTATGTCACCACCAAATGATTAGCCAAACATATCCCCCTTTCTTCCATATCAGGACCATTACATCCTGATGGAATAATGACCATAATTGTAATAGCAGCTGTGACAATTATGGAAAATGGAGGTCACATTGCATCATTATCAATTCCACTGCAGTGGCTGTACTCTCAGTCGTTTCCCTTCATGTCCGAAGCTGAGCATGACCCAATGAATAATTATAGCTTTACTACTGTCCTCTATGCAGTGAAATGATTTAAATTGAAATCCCTGTGATCATTGTTTCATTTCAGGCTTTTGACCAAATGCCATCTGAAAGGTCTAGGCAAAAATCCTGGCTACTAGAGGTAGCACTTGGATGAAGCAAAATGTCATTGTATATTTGCAGAAGTTCATTCAGATTGTCAGCTAACTACATTTTTAATAATGTCCTCAGAGCACTTGGAGTCAAGTTGCTTTTTGAAAACTCCCTCTGCCATTCAATTAAATGAATTTTGTATCTTGGAAATGAGTCAGATTTCTACTTATCTGGAAATAATGTGGCAGAGGTCAACATACTTGAATTAATGTATGAAGTTTCCACTTATTGACTCTGACCTCTAAAGCTCTTTTCAGTTCCTTTTGGTGCACCTGCCCAGTCAAATTATTTTCAGTCACTGGGTTTTTGTCCAAGTATCAGCCTGGCTGGATCTGGGCTGCCCCTGCAGGTATCTCCGTGGGCTTCTGAGGAGGCTCAAGCCACCCATTTTTTCACAGCAGCACAGATTAATGCAAAACATGTGCCTTTGGCTTATCTAGTCCGTTGTAAGAGCTTTTCAACCCCACTCTTTACCTCCAAGATTTCTGCTGAGAAATACACATTTCTTCTCTTCCGTTCTCAGTGATCATATTTTTTGGGGAACACAATTCTGGAAAAGAAGCTCAGATCTCCATGCTGTGCAGCCCATATAAAATAGAATTGTTGTTGGGGGAAAGAAATATTTGTGGCCAGAACCCATTTTGAACTGCAAATCTAAATGGATGTATTCTCAGCCAAAAAGCTCTGGACCTGGAAACTCTGGGAAACCTTGAGGACTGCAGGCTTTTTAAATTAATTAGACATTTAGACACTTACTACTAGTACTTCAACTAAATCCCTCTGGTCTTGACTTCTCTCTCTCTTACCACTACACAGTTTGCCCATCAAAATGTAAGACCTGATGATGGCATCATCACTCTGTTCACACAACCAGACATGCAGAATTACTTGTATCACATCTGGGAACTGTGCTTCTGGATAGGACAAAAAAAACACCAATGAACTCTGCAAGGTGACAGATAATGCCACACAAAGAAAGAAATAGGCTCCTGATGGTTTCTTGGAAAATGATAAAAGGATTAAAATGAAGAAAGGAGTGATATGGAGATAACACAGCCTTTTTTCATGATCATCCGAGCTGCCGGGAACTCGGGAAGTGGACCCTTAGGCCTATTTCATCTGTCTATCACCCCAGAATTAATTTATTGATTACTGCCACTCAAAAACTGCCTAAAGAAAAAGGTATAAAAAGAGATTTGACATAAGCAAAAAACTGAGGGGAAATTCCATCAACGCTGCAGAGGTAACCGACAGGCTACCCTTTCTCCCTCCACCTTCTTGGGACACTTTGGGCTGAGCAATTGCTTTTTGTACACATACACTAATTTTACTTTTGCTCTGTAGTACTTTAAGATCTTTACTTATTCTTTGTTAGTTCTTTTGGCTTTAGAGTTTTTGTTTATGTTTTGTGGTAGTAATATTCTTTGTAATCTGTTTTTGCTTTAGCATGTGTACCTATGCTTCGTATTATTATTATCACTACATAGTTTAGGTGTGCTTCTTTTGCAGTTAGACTCTATTCCAGACACAGTGAACCCCATAAATTGTCACAAATTTGGATTAATAAACGTGTTATTTCATGAACTATTAGAGTGAGTCCGTTTTTAGGTGCTGACAGTTTTGTTGATGGCGAAACAACTCCTAGGAAAAACCTGCTGAGGGGTTTTTCTACCGCTATTCGGTGTAGTCCTTATATAAATAGGTATCAAATGTCCTGTCCTCTCAGTGAGTCTGTTAAGTGAAGGGTCTCATTAGGTGAGACGTTAACAGACTGTTTTGGACATTAAAAGGCTTTGATCTCCTAGGTGACGCTGGTACCCAAAGAAAATAAACTAATGCAGGTTGGGCAGAAAATTCTTGTTTTCTTCCCCTTTTCATGTGACAAAGTCTCAGCAGATTGGAGCTCAAAAGCCCAGCTCATGCTAATGTGACTCCACACATCCCTCTCATTGCCTATAAGATGTCTGTGAGTGGTATCCTTGCTGCACTGAGAGTAGCCCAAAATCTCAACTGTACTTGAAGTAGATGCTGTCAGGAATCTTTCTGGTTTTGTACCTAGAAAACTACATACAAGAGTCAGAAAAGGTGTTGTAGAATCTGAGAAAGCTCACGGTGGTTGCAGTCAGTAATAGGGATAGGAGATGTTGCAGCTGATGCCAAGGGATGCAAACGCATTGTGTCTGGGCTGCAGAGTGGGGAAGACTAGCACTCTCACTTGAAGTATCATCACAGTTGTGTGCCATGTAGATATACCTGCAGCTGTTCTTGGAGCTGTCCCCAGGTTTTGGCCTTTTGGTAAAGTGGATCCCATGGGGAAAAGAGAGTAGCCAATAGCTGAGGAGGGGGAGAGAGGGGTGGGAATGAAATTGAAATGAAAATGAAAACCATCGTCCCACTGCTGGTTTTAAGCTGTGCAAATGAATTGAGCTTTAAGCTAGTAGTCCCCCCTGACCTTATCTATAGCAGAAATGTCTGTGTTGCAGATTGCAGTGCTCTGGCTGAACAACCACCGTTTCACAGACCTAAGGAGGAAAATAGGCTGAAATATTTAAAGGTAAATACACTGACATTTATTTGACATGTGGTCTTAGAGTTACTGACCAGTCAACATAAAGAGGCTTAAGAATCTTGGTAAATCTAACCAGAAAAGCAAAACAGGATGCTTGTCGGGCAATTGGATTGTCTAGGAGAAGCCTGGGTTTTCTTACCACAACATTGATTTATGTCTCTAACTTAGATCAGAAAAACACAGAATCATAAAATAACTTAGTTTGGAAGTAATTTATTCCTAATTTACACTCAAAGCAAGGCTATCTTCAAAATTAGAGTAGACTTCTCAGGGTTCCGTCCGTCTGAATTGCAATACCCCTAAGGATGCCTAGCCTCACAGGCACCTGTCCCAGGGCCTGACCAATCTTGCTATGATGCTTCTTTCTCCCTATGTTCAATCATAATTTTTCTTGCTGCATCTTGTGTTTGTTGTCTCCTGTCCTTTCAGTGTGCACCTCTAAGAAGAATATGGCTATGTGTTTCTAACACTATCCATAAGGTGGTTGGTTGAAGAACACGGTTACCTCCAAAGCTATCTGTTCTGGATGAACAAGCCCATCTCCCTCAGCCTCTCCTCCTATGTCACATACTTGTGTTTTCCAGTCCCAAACATTTCCTGGTGGTTCTCCTTTGGAGATCAGTATATTTACACCTATAGTAGG